GGGGGGGGAGGGGGGGGGGCCAGAGACGGGGGGCAGAGGAGTGGGGGGAGGGGGGTGCCCCGCTAGGGGGGGGAGGGGGCGGGGCCCGAGGCGGGGGAGAGGAATAGGGGGCAGGGGGTGGTGCCCAGAGGCGGGGGCAGAGGAATGGGGGCAGGGCGTGAGGGGGGGGGGAAGAGGAATGGGGGGAGGGGGTGGTGCCCAGAGGCGGGGGGCAGAGGAATGGGGGACGGGCGGTGCCGAGGCGGGGGCAGAGGAATGGGGGGCAGGGGGTGGTGCCCAGAGGCGGGGGCAGAGGAATGGGGGGCAGGGGCGGTGCCCAGAGGCGGGGGCAGAGGAATGGGGGCACGGGCGGTGCCCAGAGGCGGGGGGCAGAGGAATGGGGGGCAGGGGGTGGTGCCCCGCTAGGGGCCGGGGATGGGGCGGTGCCCAGAGGCGGGGGGCAGAGGAATGGGGGGCAGGGGGTGGTGCCCCGCTAGGGGCCGGGGATGGGGGCGGGGCCCAGAGGCGGGGGGCAGAGGAATGGGGGGCAGGGGCGGTGCCCAGAGGCGGGGGGCAGAGGAATGGGGGGCACGGGCGGTGCCCAGAGGCGGGGGGCAGAGGAATGGGGGGCAGGGGGTGGTGCCCCGCTAGGGGCCGGGGATGGGGGCGGGGCCCAGAGGCGGGGGGGCAGAGGAATGGGGGGCAGGGGGTGGTGCCCCGCTAGGGGCCGGGGATGGGGGCGGTGCCCAGAGGCGGGGGCAGAGGAATGGGGGGCAGGGGGCGGTGCCCAGAGACGGGGGGCAGAGGAATGGGGGGCAGGGGGTGGTGCCCAGAGGCGGGGGGCAGAGGAATGGGGGGCAGGGGGTGGTGCCCCCGCTAGGGGCCGGGGATGGGGGGCGGGGCCCAGAGGCGGGGGGCAGAGGAGTGGGGGGCAGAGGGCGGTGCCCAGGGGCGGGGGCAGAGGAATGGGGGGCAGGGGCGGTGCCCAGAGACGGGGGGCAGAGGAATGGGGGGAGGGGTGGTGCCCAGAGGCGGGGGGCAGAGGAATGGGGGGCAGGGGGTGGTGCCCCCGCTAGGGGCCGGGGATGGGGGGCGGGGCCCAGAGGCGGGGGGCAGAGGAGTGGGGGGCAGAGGGCGGTGCCCAGGGGCGGGGGGCAGAGGAATGGGGGGCAGGGGCGGTGCCCAGAGGCGGGGGGCAGAGGAATGGGGGGCAGGGGCGGTGCCCAGAGGCGGGGGGCAGAGGAATGGGGGGCAGGGGCGGTGCCCAGAGGCGGGGGGCAGAGGAATGGGGGGCAGGGGGTGGTGCCCAGAGGCGGGGGGCAGAGGAATGGGGGGCAGGGGGTGGTGCCCCCGCTAGGGGCCGGGGATGGGGGGCGGGGCCCAGAGGCGGGGGGCAGAGGAGTGGGGGGCAGAGGGCGGTGCCCAGAGGCGGGGGGCAGAGGAATGGGGGGCAGGGGGTGGTGCCCAGAGGCGGGGGGGCAGAGGAATGGGGGGCAGGGGGTGGTGCCCCCGCTAGGGGCCGGGGATGGGGGCGGGGCCCAGAGGGGGGCAGAGGAGTGGGGGGCAGGGGCGGTGCCCAGAGGCGGGGGGCAGAGGAATAGGGGGCAGGGGGTGGTGCCCAGAGGCGGGGGCAGAGGGCGGTGCCCAGGGGGGGGGGCAGAGGAATGGGGGCAGGGGGTGGTGCCCAGAGGCGGGGGCAGAGGAATGGGGGCACGGGCGGTGCCAGAGGCGGGGGCAGAGGAATGGGGGCAGGGGGTGGTGCCCAGAGGCGGGGGGCAGAGGAGTGGGGGGCAGAGGGCGGTGCCCAGAGGCGGGGGGCAGAGGAATGGGGGGCAGGGGGTGGTGCCCAGAGGCGGGGGCAGAGGAGTGGGGGGCACGGGCGGTGCCCAGAGGCGGGGGCAGAGGAATGGGGGGAGGGGGTGGTGCCCAGAGGCGGGGGCAGAGGAATGGGGGGCAGGGGGTGGTGCCCAGGGGCGGGGGGCAGAGGAATGGGGGGCAGGGGCGGTGCCCAGAGGCGGGGGCAGAGGAATGGGGGGCAGGGGCGGTGCCCAGAGGCGGGGGGCAGAGGAATGGGGGGCAGGGGCGGTGCCCAGAGGCGGGGGCAGAGGAATGGGGGGCAGGGGGTGGTGCCCAGAGGCGGGGGGCAGAGGAATGGGGGGCAGGGGGTGGTGCCCCCGCTAGGGGCCGGGGATGGGGGCGGGGCCCAGAGGCGGGGGGCAGAGGAATGGGGGGCAGGGGGCGGTGCCCAGAGGCGGGGGGCAGAGGAATGGGGGGCAGGGGGTGGTGCCCAGAGGCGGGGGGCAGAGGAATGGGGGGCAGGGGTGGTGCCCCGCTAGGGGCGGGGATGGGGGCGGGGCCCAGAGACGGGGGCAGAGGAGTGGGGGGCAGGGGGGTGCCCAGAGGCGGGGGGCAGAGGAATAGGGGCAGGGGGTGGTGCCCAGAGGCGGGGGGCAGAGGAATGGGGGCAGGGGCGGTGCCCAGGGGCGGGGGGCAGAGGAATGGGGGGCAGGGGGTGGTGCCCAGAGGCGGGGGGCAGAGGAATGGGGGGCAGGGGGTGGTGCCCAGAGGCGGGGGGCAGAGGAATGGGGGGCAGGGGGCGGTGCCCAGGGGGGGGGCAGAGGAATGGGGGGCAGGGGGTGGTGCCCAGAGGCGGGGGGCAGAGGAATGGGGGGCACGGGCGGTGCCCAGAGGCGGGGGGCAGAGGAATGGGGGGCAGGGGGCGGTGCCCAGAGGCGGGGGGCAGAGGAATGGGGGGCAGGGGCGGTGCCCAGAGGCGGGGGGCAGAGGAATGGGGGGCACGGGCGGTGCCCAGAGGCGGGGGGCAGAGGAATGGGGGGCAGGGGGTGGTGCCCCCGCTAGGGGCCGGGGATGGGGGCGGTGCCCAGAGGCGGGGGGCAGAGGAATGGGGGGCAGGGGTGGTGCCCCCGCTAGGGGCCGGGGATGGGGGCGGTGCCCAGAGGCGGGGGGCAGAGGAATGGGGGCCAGGGGGTGGTGCCCAGAGGCGGGGGGCAGAGGAATGGGGGGCAGGGGGCGGTGCCCCCGCTAGGGGCCGGGGATGGGGGCGGGGCCCAGAGGCGGGGGGCCGGGGCCGGGGGTCGCGGGGGGCCGGGTCGGGCGCTGAGGGGGTCGCCGGGCCGCTCCCCCCCGCCCCATCTCACCAGGCCGGGTGACCGGCAGAGCCGCCGCCATCGCCGTGCGGGGGGGGAACCGGACGTCTCCTCCGCGCGTGCGCACCAGGCGGGCGGGGCCGGGACTCGCCCGTTTCCGGTCCGTGCCGCTCGGTTCCGGCCCGGCACCGTCTGCGGGAGGCGCCGCCCGGCCCGGCCCGGTGAGCGCGAGCGGCGGGGGCGGGGGGGGGGGGGGGGGGGGCGGGGGGGGGTTTGGCGCCTCTTTTCTCGGCCCGGGGCCGCGCCGTGCAGGGAGCGAGCGGCCCCCGGCGGGCGGCGAAGGGGCGGCGTCCCGGGGGCGCCGGCAGCCCCGGGCGGGTGTCTGCTCCCCCCCCGCAGCTCGCGGAGCCTCCCAGAGCGCGGGGCGGCCCCGCCTCGCTCCCCGCGTCAGCCCCCGGAGGGTCTGCGGCCAGAGGTGAACGCTGCCCCCCGGCCAGCGCCCCCCACACACCCCCTCTAGACACTGCCCCCCAGACACTGCCCCCAGACACGCCCCCCGACAGGGCCCCCCGGCCAGCCCCCCCACACCCCCTCTAGACACCGCCCCCCAGACACTGCCCCCAGACACTGCCCCCCGACAGCCCCCCGGCCAGCCCCCCCACACACCCCCTCTAGACACTGCCCCCCAGACACTGCCCCGCCAGACACTGCCCCCCGACAGCGCGCCCCCGGCCAGCCCCCCACACACCCCCTCTAGACAGCGCCCCCGACACTGCCCCCCAGACAGCGCCCCCCAGACACTGCCCCCCCGACAGCGCCCTCCAGACAGGCCCCCCACACACCCCCAGACACGCCCCCGACAGGCCCCCCAGACAGCGCCCCCACACACACCCCCAGACACTGCCCCCCAGACACTGCCCCCCGATAGCGTGCCCCCGGCCAGCGCCCCCACACACCCCCTCTAGACACTGCCCCCCGACAGGCCCCCCAGACACTGCCCCTCCAGACAGGCGCCCCCGGCCAGGCCCCCACACACCCCCTCTAGACAGCGCGCCCCCCGACAGCGCGCCCCCAGACACTGCCCCTCCAGACAGCGCGCCCCCGGCCAGCGCCCCCCACACACCCCCTCTAGACAGCGCCCCCCCGACAGCGCGCCCTCCAGACACTGCCCCCCCCGACAGCGGCCCTCCAGACACTGCCCCCCGACAGCGCCCCTCCAGACAATCCCAGACAGCGCCCCACAGACACTGCCCCCCCAGACACCTCCCCAGACACTGCCCCCCCGACAGCGCCCCCTCCAGACAATCCCAGACAGCGCCCCACAGACACTGCCCCCCAGACACCTCCCCAGACACTGCCCCCCCCAGACAGCGTGCCCCACACACACTCCTAGACAGCGCCCCACAGACACCCCCACACAGCGTGCCCCACACACACTCCTAGACAGTGCCCCACAGACAGTGCCCCCCAGACAATCCCAGACAGTGCCCCACAGACAGTGCCCCCCCATACACCCCCCCAGACACTGCCCCCCCAGACAGCGTGCCCCACACACACTCCTAGACAGCGCCCCACAGACAGTGCCCCCACAGACACCCTCCCACACAGCGTGCCCCACACACACTCCTAGACAGTGCCCCACACACACTCCTAGACAATCCCAGACAGTGCCCCCCCATACACCCCCCCCAGACACTGCCCCCCCACACAGCGTGCCCCACACACACTCCTAGACAGCGCCCCACAGACAGTGCCCCCCCAGACACCCTCCCACACAGCGTGCCCCACACACACTCCTAGATAGCGCCCCACAGACAGTGCCCCCACAGACAGACACCCCCAGACACCCCCCCAGACAGCGTGCCCCACACACACTCCTAGACAGTGCCCCCCCCAGACAGCGCGCCACACACAGCACCCCACACACAGCGCCCCACAGGAGGCCTCGCTCTGTCCCGCGGACCTGGGGGCCCCGTGGGTGAGAGCCGTGTAACCCTGCACAGGTTATGCAGGTCAAGCCCGGCCTGAAGGGCCCACCTCTAAGGTGAGAGGGTTGTTTCAGCCTCCAGGCATATGCGCCAGCATATTTGCTGAGATTGCCAACCTGCGGTGACTCTGCCTGCTAGCTTTAACTTATCTAATGCAGGCGAAGGAACAGACCCAGGCTGGTTATTGATAGGACTGATTTGTTCTAGATTTGAAATGGTAAGGGGATTAGATGGTTCAGAGGATTGACAATAGGCTATATAGGCTGTTTTTTTGGTCTAAATCAAAGCAGCTGGCTTCTAAAATTATCTGTTTTACCCTCCACCATATCTTTGTCTACACTTTCCCAGATTCTAAAGCAACAATAGTGTCTCATAGCTGCTACTGGATTATTAGTTTCTACCACTGCCTAATATTCATTTTTTAAAATTAATTTGCAGGGCCCCCTTGAATAGTTTCTAATGAGATGAGTTTAGTCATTAGAAATCTGCAGAAAGTCATCCCCCTCAGGCGAATCCCACTTCGCAGAAGAATAGAAATCCTTCAGAAGATTTTGCACGTGCAGCAGTTCGACCTGGGCATTATCTGCGTTAGTAACAGAAACATTCAACTTCTCAATAGCACCTACAGGCAACAAAATGTCCCCACCGATGTGCTTTCCTTCCCTTTTCATGAGGTAAAATTGTTTTTTTGTTTTGTTTTTTTCCTTTCTTCTGCTTTCCACAGCTACTTTCTTGGTCTGCCAGACACAACTGACTTCTTTGCAAGCCATTAGAGAAAACACCGTAACCCTTATTAAATAAATCCTAAAGTAATTTGATATCCTATTTCATTGCAGTGGCTCTCTGTGATGATACACTAGGACATAGTGGTGCTTCAGGGGATCCCAGACATTTTGTGGAACTTGATGGTGATTTGGGACCTGTTTCAGGGCTCTCAGAGGGTATTGTCTTTGAGAACATCTTCAGCAATCCTCATTAGCTGTTTTATATGTTCTTCCTTGCATGGCACCATAAATGCATGAAAACAGAGCCATGAGTAAAGTTATACATATGTATAGGGCCTGTTCCCCAGCATTTCAGGAATTCTACTTCCACAAGGCAGCTGGCAGCAGTTAACGTGCCACTACTGGGAAGCTGAGAGTGGACAACGGGATGGTTCACTTAATGAGTACCTGTTCTGTTTACTCCCTCTGAAGCACTTGGCACTGGCCACTTTTGGCAGACAGGATGCTGTGCTAGATGGACCATTGGTCTGACCCAGTAGGGCCATTCTTATGTTCCTGCTTTTTTCCCTTTTTTTGGTCAGTGTTGTTTAAATCTTCAAAGTAACCAGTAGGGAGTTTGATTATTTAAATTAGGTAACTTGTTGATAATATCTAAATGTCTTTCTGTTGCTCTCTTATGGAAGGAAGGCAGTCAAGATTTAAAAGAAAAAATGTACAGGCTCACACATTCGGCTACCATCAGGTACAAGGTATAGGAAGAGAAGGCATTGGAAATATAACTTTTCCATCAAATGTACATGTTTAAACACTTTGGGATCCCATTTGATTTCTGCTGACATGAGAACAGTATAATTGCTCACCTAGGTTCATAGGAGTGGCCAAAATATTTCCTAGGTAAACAATAATTAGCTAAGTTTCAGAGTAACAGCCGTGTTAGTCTGTCTTCGCAAAAAGAAAAGGAGTACTTGTGGCACCTTAGAGACTAACCAATTTATTTGAGCATGAGCTTTCGTGAGCTACAGCTCACTTCATCGGATGCATACCGTGGAAACTGCAGAAGACATTATATACACAGAGACCATGAAACAATACCTCCTCCCACCCCACTCTCCTGCTGGTAATAGCTTATCTAAAGTGATCATCAAGTTGGGCCATTTCCAGCACAAATCCAGGTTTTCTCACCCTCCAGCCCCCCACACACAAACTCACTCTCCTGCCTGTAATAGCCCATCCAAAGTGACCACTCTCCTCGCAATGTGTATGAAAATCAAGGTGGGCCATTTCCAGCACAAATACAGGTTTTCTCACAACCTGGATTTGTGCTGGAAATGGCCCCCCTTGATTATCATGCACATTGTAGGGAGAGTGGTCGCTTTGGATAAGCTATTACCAGCAGGAGAGTGAGTTTTTGTGTGTGTGTTTTTTTGAAAAAAAGCAGGTGGGGGGGGGTGAGAAAACCTGTATTTGTGCTGGAAATGGCCCACCTTGATTATCATACACATTTTAAAGAGAGTGGTCACTTTGGATGGGCTATTACCAGCAGGAGAGTGAGTCTGTGTGTTGGGGGGCGGAGGGTGAGAAAACCTGGATTTGTGCTGGAAATGGCCCAACTTGATGATCACTTTAGATAAGCTATTACCAGCAGGAGAGTGGGGTGGGAGGAGGTATTGTTTCATGGTCTCTGTGTATATAATGTCTTCTGCAGTTTCCACGGTATGCATCCGATGAAGTGAGCTGTAGCTCACGAAAGCTCATGCTCAAATAAATTGGTTAGTCTCTAAGGTGCCACAAGTACTCCTTTTCTTTTTGCGAAGACAGACTAACACGGCTGTTACTCTGAAACCCAGGAGTAGAGTTCATCACAACACACTGCCTGCAGATCCAGGTTAGGACAGAGTGGGGCACACAGGATGGCTGGGGTCACAGGCGGGGCTTCAGAATGGCTAGTGGTGGGGACAGACTGAAGCATGGGCTCAGGAGCTAGTGAGGTGACGGGACCTACACAAAAATGAGGAGGTTAGTTAAACAAAAATTGAAAGGTCCAGCACCAAAAGTAAAATCCCTGCAAACTGCACAGAAACTTAAAGACACCATAATAGAGGCTCAACTTAAATGTATACCCCAAATTAAAAAACATAGTAAGAGAACCTAAAAAGAGCCACCATGGCTAAGCAACAAAGTAAAAGAAGCAGTCAGAGGCAAAAAGGCATCCTTTAAAAAGTGGAAGTTAAATTCTAGTGAGGAAAATAGAAAGGAGCAGAAACTCTGGCAAATTAAGTGTAAAAATATAATTAGGAAAGCCAACAAAGAATTTGAAGTACAGCCAGCCAAAGACTCAGAAAATAATAGCAAAAAAATTTTTAAGTATATCAAAAGCAGGAGGCCTGCTAAACAACCAGTGTGGCTGCGGTTGAGGCAACTAAGGGAGATTCCCAAACCTGAGCCATTCTTTTTAGGTGACAGATCTGAGGAACTGTTCCAGATTGAGGTGTCATTAGAGGAGGTTTTGGAACAAATTGATAAACTAAACAGTAATAAGTCACCAGAAGCAGATGGTATTCACCCAAGAGTTCTGAAGGAACTCAAATGTGAAATTGCAGAACTACTAACTGTCATCTGTAACCTATCATTTAAATCAGCTTCTGAACCAGATGACTGGAGGATAACTAACGTGACGCCAATTTTTAAAAAGGTCTCCAGAGGTGATCTCTGCAATTACAGGCCTCAGAGGCCTGTAAGCCTGACTTCAGTACCAGGCAAACTGGTTGAAACTATAATAAAGAACAATATTGTCAGACATATAGATGAACATAATTTGAGGAAGAGTCAACATGGTTTTAGTAAAGGGAAGACATGCCTCACCAATCTGCTAAAATTCTTTGAGGGGGTCAACAAGCATGTGGACCAAGGAGATCCAGTGGATATAGTGTATTTAGATTTTCAGAAAGCCTTTGACAAGATCCCTCACCAAAGGCTCTTAAGCAAAGTAAGCTGCTACGGGATAAGAGGGAAGGTGCTCTCATGGATTGGTAACTGGTTAAAAGAAAGGAAACAAAGGGCAGGAATAAATGGTCAGTTTTCAGAATGGAGAGAGGTAAATAGTGGTGTCCCCCAGAGTCAGTACTGGGCCCAGTCCTATTCAACATATTCATAAGGGAACTGGAAAAAGGGGTAAACAGTGAAGTGGCAAAATTTGCAGATGATACAAAATGACTAAAGATAGTTAAGTATAAAGCAGACTTCAAAGAGCTACAAAGGATCTCTCAAAACTAGGTGATTGGGCAACAAAATGCCAGATGGAATTCAATGTTGATAAATGCAAAATAATGCACATTGGAAAGCATAATCCCAACTATACATATAAAATGATGGGGTCTAAATTTGCTGTTACCACTCAAGAAAGAGATCTTGGAGTCATTGTGGATAGTTCTCTGAAAACATCCACTCAATGTGCAGCGGCAGTCAAAATAGTGAACAGAATGTTGGGCATCATTAAGAAAGGGATAGATAATAAGACAGAAAATATCATATTGCTTCTATATAAATCCATGGTACACCCACATCTTGAATACTGTGTGCAGATGTGGTCACCCCATCTCAAAAAAGATATATTGGAATTGGAAAAGGTTCAGAAAAGGGCAACAAAAATGATTAGGGGTATGGAACGGCTTTCATATGGGGAGAGATTAATAAAACTGGGACTTTTCAGCTTGGAAAAGAGACAACGAAGGGGGATATGATAGAGATCTATAAAATCATGACTGGTGTAGAGGAAGTAAATAAGGAAGTGTTATTTACGCCTTCTCATAACACATAAATTAGGGGCCACCAAATGAAATTAATAGGCAGCAAGTTTAAAACAAAGAAAAGGAGGTATTTTTTCACACAGCGCACAGTCAACCTGTGCAACTCTTTGCCAGAGGATGTTGTGAAGGCCAAGACACTAACACGGGTCAAAAAAGAACTAGATAAATTCATGGAGGATAGGTCCATCAATGGCTATTAGCCAGGATGGGCAGGGATGGTGTCCCTAGCCTCTGTTTGCCAGAAGCTGGGAATGGATCACTTGATGATTACCTGTTCTGTTCATTTCCTCTGGGGCACCTGGCATTGGCCACTATTGGAAGACAAGATACTGGGCTAGATGGACCTTCGGTCTGACCCAGTATGGCCGTTCTTATGTTTGACACATAAAATATGCAGAATTTTGAAATATTGTGTGCAGAATTTTTAATTTTTTGGTGCAGAATTCCCCCGGGAGTAACACCGCTATTTTATTAGCGTGCTATTGCAAGTCCCACTAGTCCAAGTCTGTCAACGTGGGCTAGGAGGCTTGGTGCCACGGGTTGTGTCAGCCTACCCTAAGCAAGTCAAGGACATGTGTAAATTTTATACTAGGTGCTGGACCTATACATGTTGCCTGACACTGCACATAGCAAATCTTTCACAGCTAGTGATTCATCCTTTGGATCATACAGTCAAATCCAAGTCCCTTTCTGTCCATTTCCAGTTACTGTCCTAATGGAAGTTAAAGAGCCCCTAGCTAATTTCCTCTGTCAGTAAAAAGCCTTTAGTGTCTAAGGTTCCATTTGCATGAACCACCATTGCTGTATCAGTGCCTAGCTCATTACTTTGTAACAACTTTGGGAAGCCTTGAGGATGAAAAGTACTCTGTATAACCAGATTCTCACCTATGTTAACTTTTGGAAGGGCTTCTGTATTTCAGAATCTGAAAGCAGGTGAGCTGCCTCAGCCTAGTCTTCGAGACGAATACAATCTTGGTGATGTTTTCCTAGGAGTAGAGTATATCTATCAGCAGTGCCAAGAAAATGGGGAGGATTACTACAGCATTCTTACAGTAAGTGTTTGCTTACTAATACAGATTTCTCCTCACAGACTCGATTTAGGAACCACGGCTGAAACAATACTAATATTCACTGTTGGGGGGAATTTTTTGCCAGTTTATGGACATTGCAAAGATTCATCTACAGAAAAATATTCTGAATCCCAAACCTATAATGTAAAGGAATTTAAATTTATGTTCTCCATGTAAGCATGAAGTCATGCTAAAACACATTTCCAATTGCAGTCTCTTCTTAAATGAGGCTAGGATGTCTCTGGTAACTGTGTTCAGTGCTGTTACAACTTTGGAGGAAAGACTGAGTGGTAGAATAATACTTTTGTGAATAACCAAAGGATCAGTTGAACTTAAGTCAAGAAAACTTACAAGTGATGAATAAAATCAGGAGAATGTCACCTCGGCTACCTTGAGGGCTGGGAATTAATCTGCAGTGAGGGGTAGTTGTGGGGAATTAAGACAGTTTAGGAGCTATACTCCATAGATTCACTGTAGAGGCTAAGCAGCAAGCAGGTCTCATCAACCGTCTAACAGCAGAAACTGCTCACACGAAGGAGCAGAAGCAACGCAGCTGCCATAACTTACCCAGGAGCAGTTGCTTCTCTGTCTGAGCTGAATTAAAGTAACTTCCATCAACAGCAGAGGTTCTGCTTTACTTAGTGTGGTTCTCTTTGTCCATATAAGGGTTATTTTTAAATACAATAGAACAAGAAAACATAACTCTGAAAAACTAGGAAAGTAATGGGAGCTAAGCATCTCTAGATATTAGCTGTGGAATAAGATGGGCTCAGAGGTGACTTGACCTCTTAGTCTGGTCTGGATCACTTGGCAAACTGGGCACAGACAAACAATATGTGTTGTATAAAGCTAAACGTAAATATATATATCAAGGAACAAAGAATGTAGGTTACACTTATGCAATGGAGGACTCTATCTTGGGAAGCAGTGACTCTGAAAAAGATAGGGGGTTTGGGTGGATAATCATCTGAACATGAGCTCCCAGTGTGACACTGGCAAAAAGGACTAATGTAATCCTTGGACACATAAATAAAGGTATCTCGAGTAGGAGTCAAGAAGTTATTTTATCTGTCTATTTGGTACTTGTGCAATCGCTGCTGGAACATTCTGTCCAGTTCTGGTGTTCACAATTCAAGGAAGATGTTGGTAAATTGGAGAAGAGTGAGAAAAGAGCCACAAGAATGATTAAAGATCAGAAAACCTGCCTTATAGTGATGGACTCAAGGAGCTCAATCCGTTTATCTTAACAAAGTGAAGAGAAATTTTGTTAGTAGAGAGCTCTATAATCTAATGGACAAAAGCATAACAAGATCCAGCGACTGGAAGCTGAAACTAGAGAAATGCCAGCTGGAAAAAAGGTGCATATTTGGCTTACAGCAACTTAACATTAGATGTAGTGCATCACTTGACATTCAGTCTTGATTTAGAGTTGTGTTTAAAGAGATGCTGTACCTCAACCAAAAACTTATGGACTTGGTTTGGGAATTATTGGGTGAAATTCTATAGCCTATTATACAGGTCAGACTAGGTGATCTTAATGGTAACTTCTGGCAATAAAATCATGGATATGGAATTCAGGGACTTAGCAAGATACTTTTAAAAATAAGTTTGATCCACCTTTTAAACATAAGTTTCAGAGTAGCAACCGTGTTAGTCTGTATTCACAAAAAGAAAAGGAGTACATGTGGCACCTTAGAGACTAATAAATTTATTTGAGCATGAGCTTTCGTGAGCTACAGCTCACATTATCGGATGCATGGAAATCCGATGAGGTGAGCTGTAGCTCACGAAAGCTTATGCTCAAATAAATTTGTTAGTCTCTAAGGTGCCACAAGTCCTCCTTTTCTTTTAAACATAAAAGAGTGTCATGGCTTTCAGTCCCTGCTGCAGGTCCCCATGTTGGTCTTGCGGTCTAAGGCCTTGTCTACACTGCAGAGTTTTGTCAGCAAAAGGCAGCTTTTAGAGGCAAAACAGTGGAGGTGTACATACTGCAATGCCATTTTTGATGACAAAGCTGCCCCTTTTTAGCGACAAAATAAAACCACCTCAATGAGAGGCATAAAGTTTTTTGCGGCAAACTTAAAGCAACAAAGTATCAGTGTAGACCGGTGGTGGGCAACCTGCAGCCCGTCAGGGTAATCCTCTGGCGGGTCACAAGACAATTTGTTTATGTTGACCATCTGCAGCTCCCAGTGGCTGTGGTTCGCCGTTCCCGCCAGTGGAATCTGTGGGAAGCGGTGGCCAGCACGTCACGTGCCCTGCCACTGCCACTCATTAAATTGCCATAACTAGCCTCTCCCAGTATCTCACAATGCCTACCGTGACCACTCTGCTCACTGTTTTGAACTCTGCTACCCTGCATTGCTGATACACAGGCATGTGCCTCTCCCTTTTCAAAGCTCTGGGAAGTTCCAGTTTTGTTCAACATCTTTAATAATGACCTGGATGATGGGATGGATTGCACCCTCAGCAAGTTGGCAGATGACACTAAGCTGGGGGGAGAGGTAGATACGATGGAGGGTAGGGATAGGGTCCAGAGAGACCTAGACAAATTGGAGAATTAGGCCAAAAGAAATCTGATGAGGTTCCACAAGGACAAGTGCAGAGTCCTGCACTTAAGACGGAAGAATCCCATGCCCTGCTACAGGCTGGGGACTGACTGGCCAAGCAGCAGTTCTGCAGAAAAAGACCTAGGGGTTACAGTGGATGAGAAGCTGGATATGAGTTAGCAGTGTGCCCTGGTTGCCAAGAAGACCAATGGCATATTGGGCTGCATTAGTAGGAGTATTGCCAACAGATTGAGGGAAGTGATTATTCCCCTCTCTTTGGCACTGGTGAGGCTTCATCTGGAGTATTGTGTCCAGTTTTGGGCCCCACACTACAAGAAGGATGTGGAAAAATTGGAAAACATCCAGCGGAGGGCAACAAAAATGATTAGGGGACTGGAACACATGACTTATGAGGAGAGGCTGAGGGAACTGGGATTGTTTAGTCTGCAGAAGAGAAGAGTGAGGGGGGGATTTGATTGCAGCCTTCAATTACCTGAAGGGGTGTTCCAAAGAGGATGGAGCTCGGCTGTTCTCAGAGGTGGCAGGTGACAGAACAAGGAGCAATGGTCTCAAGTTGCAGTGGGGGAGGTCTAGGTTGGATATTAGGGAATACTATTTCACTAAGAGGGTGGTGAAGCACTGGAATGGGTTACCTAGGGAGGTGGTGGAATCTCCATCCTTAGAGGTTTTTAAGGCCCGGCTGAAAAAGCCCTGACTGGGATGATTTAGTTGGTGTTGGTCCTGCCATGAGCAGGGGGTTGATCTAGATGATCTCCTGAGGTCTCTTCCAAACCTAATATTCTGTGCCACTCAGCTCAGGCAGCAAAGACAGCAAAGAGCAAATCATTAACATGGAATGCTGTTCTCTTCCACACTATGAACACAGAGACAGGCAGGGGTGGGTGGGGGTGTGGGTGTCCCTCCCTCTCTCGCCCCCCCCCCCCCGCCTTGGTTGCTTCTGGCGGCTGCCTGAACTTAGAGACAGCAAGCCGGCACACTCACTCTCCCCCAACACACACACTCTGTTTCCCGCACACACTTCAGTTGAAAAGCTGCTGGCAATCTCAGAGGGTGCCCACAGAACGATGGGATTGAGAAACCTGCATCATGTGACTCTGTACCTGCCCCATGAGGAATTGCAAACCCTTCCCAAAGAACCCTGTGGTCAGTTGCATAGTGGGATAGCTACTCACAATGCACAGCTCTCTGTCTATGCAAGAGCTGCTAATGTGGATGCACTCTGCCAACACAAGGAGCATAGTGTGGACATGAAATAGCGGTTTAATTAAAACAGCATTACTTTTGCCAACAAAACTCTGTAGTGTAGACATAAGCCTTAAACTTTCTGATCTCTTCAAAATTGTTTTTTATTTACTGTTTCATCTCTGTTTTGGGGAGAGAAAAAGGGTGAGCTTTGCCCCAAAGAGGAAAGGGATGCTGAAGGCAAGAATGCGTCTTCATTGAAACCTATTTTTATGTACCTTCATGCAGCTCCTACCAGGGGACCTAAGTTTGATTTACTGAAGTCCTAGAACAATTCCCTCCCTTGTCCCCAAGGTTCTGAGTGCCCACAGTTCTAATCGAGGTGAGTGGGAGCTGTATTATTCAGTGCCTCTGAAAATTACCACAGATCCACTGGTGCCATAAGGGGCATAGTTCCATTTGAAATTAGTGGAGTTGCTGAGACTGATAACTTTTGAAGATTAGAGCAGGAGATGGGGTTGTGTTCCCAGTGACCCATCGGGTTATTTTGATTAGCAGCAGATGTATTTTCTTGGACATGACCATAGATAAAGATATTTTACCATTTGAAAATGTCCTTTTTGGGGACAAGAGGTTGAAGATAAACTTGTGGCTGACTTGTCAGAGGAGGCTATTATTACAAACACTTTCCTCTGGAATTTCTGTTTTCTTTTGGTTGGTGACTTTAGATATAACCTGTTCTTGTACTTTTTGGAGTATTAACTGGTTTTCCTCTGAAGGTTTCCCAAAAGCAATAGAATATATACAGCTGACAACATGTGAGAAAGCTAGACTATATTCATACGATTAAAGTTAGTCATTCTTGCTGTTTTTCTGCTTTTGCCCCCTCTTCCCATCTCAGTCCAAGGTATGCAAGGACCATGTGCATTAGACTATTGATCTTCATGTACTGTCTAGTAAAAGTAGTTAAAAGTGCCACAAGTACTCCTTAACTTTATTATTGTCACTTTCTTTGTGAAGAACTGTGCTAAATATTGCAAGACAGCACCTACATACTACAGTGATGCACACATGAATAAATGTTTAGAGATCTGTAAAATACTAAAACCATTTTTGTTTCCTTGGACAGGTGACTGCAGCTCATGGGCTGTGCCATTTGCTGGGATACCGGCACAACACAGAAGCGGAGTGGGAGCAGGTAAAAGGATGTCCTTACCTAAGCTGAGATAGATGTATTAAGAATGCCCGAAGTACACTAGTGATGGTACATCAAATTCAAAACCTTATTGTAAATGCAGAGACATTTTCCTGACTCTTCACACATATTGTAGTATAACCTTCTAATCCTGATGCTCTCAGGGGCACTTTGCAACCAGTCATTCATACATACATTCAAACCATGAAAGTAACAATGCAAAGTTCTAATAGTGCCTTTCATCTTAGAGAATCCTCAAGAACTACATCTGTGTTTAAAAGGGTAGTGGGTTCAAAAACAGGGCTTAGTATGGACACTTTCAACTTTAACTGTGGAGACACAACTGTGCCTCTATGGGGCAGGAATCTGCACAGCAGCCGTATAACACTGCAAGGCTACAATACTTTAGAAACAGAAGTGGTTTAAAAAAATATCTAATTGACACTGTAGTGGGAATTTTAGGAAATAATGCTGTGCAATTATGTTTAGCCGTCCATCAGAGCATCTCAAAAGTGTTATCCTAATTTTACAGATGTAAAAACAGACAAAGAGTTTTAACTATTTGTGCAAGTTCACACAGAAGACTACTTAGAATAGAGAACAGAACCTAGTATGACAAAGTTAGTGGGGGGAGGGATAGCTCAGTGGTTTGAGCATTGGCCTGCTAAACCCAGGGTTGTGAGTTCAATCCTTGAGGGGGCCATTTAGGGATCTGGGGCAAAAACTGGGGACTGGGCCTGCTTTGAGCAGGGGGTTGGACTAGATGACCTCCTGAGGTCCCTTCCAACCCTGATATTCTATGAAAGTCAGGCCAGATGGCTGCAAGAGGGTGTGGGAAGGCAGATATGTACGCTCTAGAATGTTAAAGGTCCTCTGCCCTATCAGCTGAGAAGGAGTTACCTCAGGTCATTTAGGAACACCTGAATCCAATTAAGGGCTGCCTGAGACCTTTTAAAGCCACTCCCCTGTTGAGAGAAAGCAGGAGGACACATGCTGGCAGGCAGTTACTAAGCTAGTGGCAGCAAGGAAATGAGCATCTCCAGGAGCAGAGACTGTGCTCCTTCCCATACAGAAAAGACAAGCCTGAGCACCTGCCAGGGGAAGGACTGATTCCCCAGGGCAAACCACAGGATGATACCCCACCCCAACAAGGAGATGGGGGAAAGTATCTCCCTTTGTATTAGTGTCTAGTGAAATAGTTCCTTCTGTTTGTTGGAGGAACACCCCTTAGACCTCCCTGAGGCCTACCCAGAAAATACGGCCGAAGGAACACAGAAGGGGGAAGACAAAGACTGCCCCCAGTGTGGCAGATGGGTTGATTTACCCCATGCCCGTCTCGCCAAAAGGAGAAGTGCTGGGGCTGGTGAGACGAAGGTGCCTCGCCACACGAGGTATGCCAGGTTTCCTGTTCTGTTAACTGGAATATGTATAGTACCTCCCATAAGCAGGTGTAATAAATCACATTGGAATCTTGCCAGAACATCAGGATTAACCCCTTTTTCTTGTGGAAAAAGCCTTATGAGCTGTTTAATAACCCATCTAATCAGGGCCTGCTTTTTCCATCTTTTTTGAAAATTGGGACCTCCAACAACCCAATGCCCTAACTCCAGTTTGGGGGATTAGTTGGATACTTACTCAGAGGGAAGAATCGTCTCTTGCAGCAGAAATAGCCACCATTGCCTGGATTTCCTTTGGTTTCAAATAAGATTACTGACCAGGCTCAACCTAGCTTAGTTTGTGAGAGATGACAAGATCATAGGCAGAAGTTGCATGCCTGCAGGCATATCTCCAGTTTTCTTAATGAACCATAGGTAAATGTGACTGCAATCAGTGGGAACCAAGGACAGTCAGCACCTCACAAGGGTACTGTGTATCTGGAAGGACTGAGCACTAAAAGTGCTTTGAAATCCTTGCATGAAAGGGTCTGTGTAAGAGCCCAGTCCTGTAAATGCTTATCCATGTGAATCTCTGTGTGCTCATGTGCGATGTCTTATTGAGTTCATAGGTAACATTTCTCATGTAAGCAAGTGTTTAAAAGGAAAGGCATGATGCAGTTTTAGTGCCCATTCTTGTAAAGTGCAGTTCTGGTCAGAAATGTGACTGTAAATACGGTATAGTGGGTTCTGGATTTATGATGTCTCACTGATTCTGTATCAAATGTGTGGGTGGATGTCCGGCAAAGACATGGTTTCCTGACTGCCAGCTCTGCAGACTCAAATTGGGCTCTTTTCTTCTCACTTGGTCATCACAGTACTTATTTGCTGCTGGTGAAATTGTCCAACGTGACACCTGTGCAACTCAGTTGCATGAAGAGAATCCCGCTGACTTCATCTTAACTGTATTGGCTCAGCGGTTACTTTTGTCCATAACTCGTCTGTTATGACTTTGAATTCACACACGGCCAGATCTGTTGAGTAAGAAGTTGCCATTTTTACATAGTTTATTTTGTGGATTAGAACAGCATTTTAAAGTCTATTGCTTAAAATTATAAAGAATGTACATGAAGGGAAAATGAGCATTCTTACTGAGTTTTTTCCCCACCCTTATAGATGTATCAGAAGGAAAAACAAATTCTTGAGGAGCTAAATGGAATCACTGGTGCAAACCTCCAGCCACTGACTAAAAACCATTTCTGATCACGTCACAAGAAAAAGAAAGAGGACCCAGAAAAATAAATCCTCATTCTACTGAGAAGAAACCAAGTAGCATGGATACAACTAACTTAAATGAATCACTGTTAATACTTAACAGGCATCTATGTTAACTTCATATAGTGTCAACAGAATATCTTGCATTGTAGTGTGTAATAAAATTCAGCCAAACAGTTTCTCTCAAGCAGAGTGCAGTTGTATATGTAACTTGTAACCAGTAATAGATTCCAATACCAAACAATACAAACGTATGTTGAAGTATCTACTGGAGACCCATAGAAGCAGTTGAAAACTACAGTGACTTACTCCTTTATACTGCTGTCCTATCTTTAGTGGGAAAGAGGGTGGAAAAGTGGAATCAGAGTTTCAATTAATTAAATTGTTCAAATATAGTCCTGTGTCCAATATCTGAAGTTGGCTTTGAAAAAGACTTAAGATGAGAAAGATGCTACCCAGAGTCTTCCTTTGAGGTTGGTGTATCATTATAAAAGTAGCAGTGATTTAAATCATTTCATGCATGAGTTGCTGTAGAGCGCCACAAAAAATTTTTCTTCTTGACCTCAGGTAAGTGTGTGTAGCCAGACAGCCAGCAGCCCCCCACCCCCACCCCCCACCCCCGCTCAGACCAGCATTGCTGGAAACACAGGAGGAAGCCGGAACAGGGCACTTAACATATATTCCAGCACAGCCTTTGAAGCTGTGAAAGCACAGGTGTGCTGCTACAATGTGCCTCTGGGAACAGATACGACGATTAAGCTCACAGCAGGCAGAGGCCCTGTGACAGACATGGCTCTTAGCCCCTACTAAATAGCGTGATGCACACACACCAACATCCTAGGTGGGAAAATATTTACCCTGATAAAAGAAATGTCCAGTAGTCGAAACTTATTGTTTCTCTCCTTTGCAAGTGTAAACTACTCTTGCGAAAGCTGGCGTCACCCAGACAGACCAGCCTCAATTTGGCATAAGAAAGGAGAAAGAGAATAAAGGAGTACAGAGGTATAAGTAGGGGACCTACAGCACCATGATTTTTGAGTGCTTTTCACTATCTATCTGCTGGTCAGATAAGTGACAGCCTCCCAAGGCTTCTGCAGCTAAGAGGGTCCCTAAGCCTTGTCCCTTATTCGTCTTTCCGCGGAATTGAGTGACCGATCCTGGCTTGGCACCGCTGGAATCGAGAGATGCAAGGAGGGTAAGAAGCACCCACACCTGATCTCCTATCTTTAGTGTACACATATTTTGAAATAGAGCTCTATACTTTGTTTTCTTTCTTTGGGGTTGTGGCTTCAGTTTTGTAACTTGTTTGTGTGTGTAACATCTCTACATTTAAATAAGTAGGCACTAGCAATTTTGTAACCACATGATTAGAATCTAGCTTAATAAATTTTGGTAACCATTTGTGCATAAGCCTGACTTGTTTTCTCTGGTTTACTGTAAAGCAGCCAACACAATTAAAGAACCTCAGCCGTTTTGGCTCTAAAGCCTGGCCATTAGGTGAGAGTACGAAGAGCCTAGCGTTGAGTTGTGCCGCCTCCAAGGGGCAAACTCTTGGGGCACCTGTCAGTCAATCCTGGCTGCCCGCTGCGAAGGAGCTCTGAGCTCTAGCAGTTAAAGTCACGGGTGTGGAGAGGCTCTTAGTGCTGCCATTGGGGCACCTGTCAGTCAGTGTTGACTGCCCGCTGCGAAGGAGCTCTGAGCTCTAGCAGTTAAAGTCACGGGTGTCTAGGACCTTTGGGCATCCATCAGCCTAGCCCAGGCTGCCCGCCGCGAAGGGACAGTGCGTCCTAGCGGTTAAAGTCACGGATGGTGTAAACGGGCATAGCTGGCACCTCACCAAACATCCTTGGCCGTCGGCTAACAGTGTGTTAACTCAGTTAGGGCCAAAATCTTATCTTATCTTCAAAGTAAAAAGCACCTAGCATCTGTATCTGTAAGTAGTCCCACGGACTTCAATAGGACTATTTTTGAAATAATGTCCTCATTAACAGGACTAAGGTGTCACCGTCTGGTCCTAATTTTGCGGGTAGTACTTTCATCCACTCCTTTTGAATATTTATTTTTCACAGTTATAAAATTTCTCCTACTAACTTGCACCTGGGAATGTGTCTCTATCTGCATGTATCAAATCTTAGCTCTGGACACTTTTCAAAGTGTACTCATTGACCCTGCTATGGAATAATGTGTTGCCCATCTGGACCCTGTTTAGAATAATATAACTGTCTTACACACAATGGGAAATGTTTAAAAAAATATGGTGTACGTAACACACATGCTTAAGCATGCCATGAGGGGACTATTACATCTGTGTCCAACCATTGTCTTGATTGTACCCTGAAGGGGGTTGTGTGTAATCTCTGCTGAAGCTAAGAACTAGCTGATTGTCATAGTTATTGTGAGATGTTTGTACGGGTAAAAGTTTGAGAGCTATGGAACCTACAGAATATTATGTTCCAGATCTGTTTGGAGTGAAACCAATCACCTGAGTTGACACAATCAACATAAGAACACTGAGCATCCCTAGAGCCAGCCTACATTTAGTGTCTGGGGAAGATGTAACCTTGAGCATACTCAAGGAAAAATGAACCCCAGGAGAGCTCTGAGAAGAGGGGGCCTCTTAGGCTATTGTCCCTTAGTCCATGACTGTATCAGAGCAGAAGAAATGGCCCAAGTGGCTATCTATTACAGGAGGGAATGCTCTGTCAGCAGGGATGTGTCTCTCATGAACAGTAGACCTCAGCTTTCTGGGCTGGACAAGCATGAGAAGGATTAACCATTGGGTGATAAATACTTTATTGGCCTGGACAGTAACTTATTAAGTACAGGCTCTAGTTTGCATCTTAAAGGGTTTTTTTTTTCCGGTAACCTTATGTTTCCAAATCCTTTTACTTGCCTTTATTTTGAATCTTAATCTTAAACACAGACACGAAATTAAAGTTTTAACAGAGTGCCTTGTGCTAAGGAGAATGTTGAACTGAGATAAAAGTGGTGAACTGGGGTACACTATGTCCATGGAGGTAAGGGATTGGTGAGCATTGCAGGTGTCCAGAAGATAGGTGTAACACAGCAGGGTGTGTAAATTTTCTATCCAGAGGGGAAGAGGAGAGCTTGGGGAGCCTGGAGCAGCTATGTTGCCCGTCAACAGTGGCTGGGGAGAGTTTCCTCTGCTGGACCACAGACAGGGCTCTCTCCTGCTGTGAGGTAGTGATTCACCCCAGCCAGCTCGGGTAGCCCTGAAAACTGTCAGTGTACATTTCTAAAATAAAAGCCACTTGAAGTGACCTTCCTTTACTGTTGGGCACTGAAAAACAGTTGCTCTCCGTAGGCTGTAGCTTCAAAAACATTCCACACCCCCCCTTCCCCCGGAGGAAACTAAAATTTCTTCTAGTTTATTCTGGGGTAAGCATGTGGAAGCCTCATTCAGGATTGGGCTCCTACTGTGCTAGGGGCTGGAGAAACACAGATGACATGGACCCTGCCCTAAAGAGCTTACAGAGAGCTCTGTGCAGGCACTGCAGTCTGCATGTACATGAGCAACTGGCAGGATCAGCATCTAAGGAGCAGTCTACACTAACCTTTGTATTGTTAACTTCCTTACAGCAAGAACCATGTTCAAACACACTTCATTAGAAAGCTACTAATGCTGTTTCTGATCCATGGAGAGAGAATCTCAGGCCAAACTGCAAGTTGTTCCACCTGGGCAAATCTCAGTGCCCGTGTAGATTTCAATAGGCACAAGAGTCCTCGTGCATAGAACATCTTGCAGAATCAGTGCCTTTCCAAATAGTTTTTTTAGGCTTTTTATTTATCCTACTTCATCAGTATTGAATTCATCTGAATTAACTGTATTTCACAATCAGTTGTCTTTTCCTCTTTATACAGGAGGTAAGAAAAGTGTATACCTACCTTTTGTTTCCTATCTTTCAACCAGTTACCAGTCCATGAGAGCACCTTCCCTCTTATCCAGTGGCAGCTTACGTTGCGTAAGAACCTTTGGTGAGGGACTTTGTCAAAGGCTTTCTGAAAATCTAAGTACACTATATCCACTAGATCCCCCTTGTCCATATGCTTATTGACCCTCTCAAAGAATTCTAGTAGATTGGTGAGGCATGTCTTCCCTTTACAAAAACACTGTTGACTCTTCCCCAACTAATTATGTTAATCTATTTGTCTGACAATTTTGTTCTTTACTATAGTTTCAACCAGTTTGCCTGGTACTGAAGTCAGGCTTACCGGCCTGAAATTGCCAGGGTCACCTCTGGAGCCCTTTTTAAAAAGGGCGTCACATTAGCTATCCTCCAGTCACTTGGTACAGAAGCTGATTTAAATAATAGGTTACAAACTACACATAGTTGGTCTGCAATTCCACATTTGAGTTCCTTCAGAACTCTTGGGTGAATACCATCTGGTCCTGGTGACTTATTACTGTTTATCAATTTGTTCCAAAACCTCCCCTAATGACACCTCAATCTGGGACAGTTCCTCAGATTTGTCACCTAAAAAGAATGGCTCAGGTTTGGGAATCTCCCTCACATCCTTAGCAGTGAAGATCGAGGGAAAGAATTCATTTAGTTTTTTCCACAATGGCCTTATTGTCCTTTAGCATCTCCATCGTCCAGTGGCCCCACTGGTTGTTTAGTAGGCTTTCTGCTTCTGATGTATTTAAAAAAATTTTTTTGCTATTACTTTTTGAGTCTTTGGCTAGCTTTTCTTCAAATTGTTTTTTGGCCTTCCTAACTATATTTTTACACTTCATTTAACAGAGTTTCTGCTCCTTTCTATTTTCCTCACTAGGATTTAACTTCCACTTTTTAAAGGATGCCTTTTTGCCTCTGACTGTTTCTTTTACTTTGTTGTTTAGCCACGGTGGCACATATTTTGTTCTCTTAAAATGTTTGTTAATTTGGGGTAAACATTCAAGTTGAGCCTCTATTATGGTGTCTTTTAAAAGTTTCCATGCAGCTTGCAAGGATTTCACTTTTGGTACTGTACCTTTTAATTTCTGTTTAGCTAACCTCCTCATTTTTGTGTAGTCCCCCTTTCTGAAATTAAATGCTATCATGCTGAGCTGCTGTGGAGTTTTCCCTGCCACAGGGATGTTAAATTTAATTATATTATGGTCACTATTACCAAGTGGTCCAGCTATATTTACCTCTTGGACCAGATCCTGTGCTCCACTTAGGACTA